TGTTGTTGATTAATTATGTGGTTTTCCATTTGTGGTTTTAAATAATCTAAAACAATCTCTTCAAAGATATTTGCTATTGTAGATAAAATACTGATAGGTCTATAGTTTTTTACTTCACTTTTACTTCCGGATTTATGTACTGGCGTTATATAACTGATTTTCCAGCTCGTAGGAAATATTTCAGATTTTATAGATTTATCATAAATCATGCTAAGAGGAAGTGCAAATGAAGATGCATATTTCTTCAAATAATTTCTGGAATTTCATCTGGTCCGGTGCTAAATTTGGCGTAATATTTATGTCTTTTCTATCGGGAAACTGAATAGATTGAGGGTTCGTTGGATTATTAGAGTAACACGACTCAAAATGTTTCGCAAATAAATTTACTACTTCATTTCCAGATTCTGCAGAATCATTGCCTAGTTCAACATTAAGTGGAATGCCCTTTTCAGATTTTCTGTCATCAATGAAGTTCCAAAATTTTTTTGGATCTTCGTCAATAATTTCTCAATCGATTCAGTTTGACGATTATCAATGTTTCTTCTCAGTTTTTTACATTCCGCACGTAATCTTTGAAAACTTGATTTTCGCATCGTCAGAGATAGGGTTCTTTTTAGAAATAAAATGAGCTTTCTTTTTATCAATTAATAGGTATTTGAGACTTTTATCTTGGACCATTTTAACTCTCATTATTAGAAATTATACATATGGGTATATGTTTATCAAAAATCAAACCAATTTGGGAGTAAAAAAATTTGCAAGTTTCATCTATCGTTAATGGATCCATTTGTGACCAATTGATTTCATTTAAGTCTTTTTCGATTGATCGAATATCAGCTTTATTATAATCAAATGTAGGATTGATATTAGATATAATTTTGTTGTGATTGTATTTAAGGTGTAATTTTAACGATAATGCTGGATGGTACTTATCACAAGACAATATAGGATCATAGTTTTTATATATATCGTAGTGAGAATTTGATGTAAAACACAGATCAAGAGTTTCGAAAGTATAGTTCGTTATGTTACTAACGTGATATAAATTATTCAGTTTCACACAATTTGACAGAATCAATGCTTTGTCGAAAACAGATTTCAAGTTACATTCTCTCGGTGTTATTGTCAGTCCTATGTTTCCATTTATCCAATTGACTTTCGGCAAATTGTAATCACCAATTGCTGTAAAAGAAGTATAGTTATCTAACAAAAGTTCATCAATGCTATTGCAATGTTGTAAGATTCAGGAGGTGAATTTGGAGGAAAATAAACAGAGCCAAAAATATGTTTTGATTTCCCGATAGTCAATTGGATAAATATTTCCTCAAACTGTGCCCTATTTGATTTTAGTAAGATACTAGCATAAGACTCACAAACCGCTATGAGTATTCCTCCACCTCTTTGTTGAGATTCTCTGTCTTGTCTGTATGTTGTATCCTTGAAGGTTGAGTTCGCCGTTGTGAATGTCTGCATGAAGCCAGGTCTCGGTAAAGATGACGTCAGGTCTGGGAGTTTGAAGTTGTGCGTCTTTGAGAATTTCAAGCTTAGTCCGAAGTCCCCTGATGTTTTGATAGTAGATTATAACGTCTAAATTTTATTATTTTTCTTGTATAAAAATGACATGTAACTTTATTTGAATATTATAGAATTTTGTACGGTTATTACAAGGTTGCACACAGGATCTCATATCCTCACGAATAATGTTTGTATAATTTTTTGTCACACAAAGAACCTTTATACAAAAATAAATGATGCACATCACGAACTGACAGTTTGCATTGAATACACCTATGCAAATTGCTAATTCATGTGTGCAAGGATATATTAAAGAGTACTTTTAAAACAAAAATAGTTTTATTTACAAAATAACAAATACATTATATAAAACCTAGAACATGGTGAACATAACTCTAAAGAGAATTAAATCAAGCTACAATTAGCAGTCCAAAAATTTCAGATCAGTCATCAGTATTCGTTAATTCCCAGTCACCTGCAGAAAAAGAAAACAAATGTGAATCTAATTTCTGTATTACAATAGAAAAATTATGCATTAGGAAATAAATATTCCATCATGTGTTTTAAGGGGGGGCGAGGTGGAAAGGATAGGAGGGACAAGTGAGGGGGACGAGAGAGAGGACAGACACACCGAGAGACGAGAGAGAGAGGAGGAGAGAGCAGAGAGAGGAGAGAGAGAGAGAGAGAGAGCGGAGAAAAAAGATAGTATATGATATTATATATATATATAGTATATATATATATATATATATATATATATATATAGATATATATAGTATGATATTTACTATAGTGATACTATAGTAATGATATATGACTGATTTATATGGAGGAGAGAGAGAGAGACGAAGAGGGAGGGAGGGAGGGGGGAAATGCAGCTACCCTGGTAATAATTTGGCACTACTACGATTTTGCCTTGACAAAGCACAAATAATATTTTCCCACCAAAACAAAATTAAGTAAAACAGTAACACTGTACTAAAATTTTAAAGGAATAATAAGTTAAGTAACCCTCCCTACATTTCTCCTGACTTCTAATGGGTGTTCTAGAATTTCCATGACATTTCCAGACCGATGAAATTCCCAACTTTTTCCTGGCTTTTCAGGAAGTGGTCACCTGTGTAAGTGAATAACGATGGCAAATTATTTTCAATACTTTCAAAATGATTTTTGCATGGAAATCAATCCCCAACGTATAGAGCAAATCCGAATTTCCCTGTTTTCCCATGATGTTGTCAGTTATTTCTTTTACCATGAATCTTGTGTATTAATTTGTTTTGTACTTTTTGAAATGTTACACACGTTTTTGCTTTATGTAATGTCTGAAACTTATCAATGTATGTGTATTGTATAAATCAATTATATTAGGGATGAATACCCTTAAGTGCCTCTATGAATGTGATTGTATGCATTTTGGTATATTAATACAAGTTTTGTACTTTTATTTAGTGTTCTATATATTGTATTTACGTCTGGTTATTACTGTATAGTGATCTTTATATTATGCTGGAAACTTATAGCTGGATAAGTCCATTGGCTAAATACAATTAAATTTTTTATCTCACCCAAATCTGGAGCCACTTCTTTCAGCACTCTGATTAAAACTTTCGCCCCTACGTGCGGAGCTTTGCGTATCTGTTCTTTAAGTGGACGGGTTATCTTGCTGACTAAAGTTTTTGTAGCTTCTTCAGACTTAGCTTCTAAGATCCTGCAAAAAAGAAAAAGGTTTAAAAAATAATAAAACGTTCAGAGTGGAGTGGTTGAATGCAAGTCACGTGTGTGACATTTCCTACAATTCATCAAGTAAAATGTAGAAGACTATTTAACATGTTACCATATGAAATAGTTCACTTACTGAAACACATGAGTCTAGTTCAGTTGTGACTGAAATCCTTGTCAAATCTATATTACAATGTTTCATTAAAATTAACATAATGGCCCAGTCAAATTAGAGAAATTGAGAAAAAAATCCCGGGGTTTTGAAATTTGGCATGGTTGTTTGTTGGTACCAACTGCACAATATCCTAAAAATCCTTATTAGTCATAATTTATGCCCCTTATTTATTATCTCAAAATCAGTTTTCTATTCTAAGTTTGAATGCTCGCTCTTCTACATTTTTTATAATCCCGTTACTAGTGATACAGTTATCATAGGGTGAAGCTAATGGTTGCCATGCACCGACTATTTGAGCAGAGAGTCCACTTTTTGCACATTATGTTCACCATTTTTTTCACAAAATAGCGGACACTTTTTTATTCAAAAAGATGATGAAATGTTATGTAATGCAAAGCTGTACAGTCTAAGAGAATAAGGATACAAGAATAGCATTTTGTCTCTTTTCGTACGTTAAGAACGAGACTATTGAATATCCATTGAACTCTTCTCCGAAAAAACTATTAATTTTACTCAATTTGTTTCACAAGACATTTAATAAAAGTATAGAAAATTATTTACATACTATTTTCCTTAACTTGCATTTATCTATTATTTTTATCATCTTTTTTCTTAGTCGGATAACTATGTTTTTCATAATTTACAAATTATAATAATTTTTTTGACATTTTGAATTTCAAGTTAAGTTTTGACATATTTATTTTAATATGTATTAAATTGTTTGCAAGAAAATTCATAATTTATTGGTAATTTAAAAATTTTACTACTTAACCTTACCCACCAACTGCTATTTTTTGGAAGCGGACATGGCAACGCTAGCAAAGCTGTGTACTATTTTGGAACTTGCAAAGGAGTATACGAGTGCCTCTAACCAATCTGTTTTGTTTGTTGACTCCATTTCTTCTCTTGATGTGAATATTCTAGTTTTTTTAATGCCTCAGGATAAATATATATGGTGGTACAGATAGTCCCTTCATTGGGGTAATCCGCTGGACTCTTGTAAATAAATTTAAAATAATAACAATATTTATACATAGTAATATTAAATTTTTCTTACCCAACTAAAAGGAATGCACCTCTATTGCAAGATATCCATTTTTTTATCGTTGCGGCCTCTAAAACAGAAGCTAGGTGAACAGAAAATTTATCTGAAAACAGAATTGAGAAATTCATTTCTGAAAAAGGAATTTGGCTAATGAGCAAGGCCTCAAAAAATTTCCAAAACTGTCAAATTTATTCAGTTTAATATTATATGGTATACAGTTATATAGCATACAAGATTGAAAGCAGAAGAATGTAATATTCTGTTTTGGTTTTAACTAAGAAATCAAAAAGCTTCAAACCTGAATCATCCTTCTTCAAGTCATCCATTTTCAAGAGTTTTTTGAGTATCAGGTTCATGCCTGGATTTTCAATTAAGGGTTGATTATCAAGTTTTACATCACTGCATATGTATCTTGCAATGGCCTGAAGAGCCTTACACAATTTCTCACCTAAAAATAATAAATGTTTACATACTCAAACAAGAAAATTAAATATATGACAAACAAGAAAATTTGAAAGTTCAAAGTAGTGTCTGACATATGATCAAATAACTAGTAATTATCTCACCTTGCCCTTTCTTGAGGGCTGCCAAAGTCACCATTGCTACTTTGGGATTTTCCAACCATATCTCCACTTCTTTTGATATTCTTAGGAGGAAATCATCTACAACTGGTGAGAGTTCCTCCCTTTTCTTCTCAATGCTCTTCAAACTGTAACATGATATGTTTATTCGGAAAGTAATGATAATAATAGTAGTAATAATAATAATATTGTTTGCCAATCCAATGACCGAGATCATTAATGTAGTAATCCCAGACCAGAAAATTGTGGGTTCAAGTTCCACCTAAGGCATGGTTGTGTTGTGTGCATCTCTGTTTATGTGTGTATTTCATCATTCATCACCATCATTTCATCCCATCGCCCAGGGCCCAGAACTCTGGGGCATAATAACGGAATCAGCATTAAAATGTTAATTCCCCTCTGTAGCAAATCTAACTTGTACATACACTTAAAATAATGTCTGAGCTTAAGTGGGAGGGACCTATCACATGGCTCCAGGAGGGCAAATTCACGCGCACGCAAAAAAAGCACATTAATATATGGAGAATTGTTATGTGTACATGTTGATGTTAGTCATTGAACAATTAAGTATTTACATTTAAATTCCATAACAGATAATACAGGAAAAGGAAAGAAAATCGTAAGTATTTATGACCCTATGTTAAAGAATATTATAAACAATATTAATTACACTTATGTTTGATTGTGGACATTTTAAATGGCCAATTATGTTATAAATAATTTTATTGTTTATATGGGCAATTAAGTGTATTTCCAATAACCTTTTGAAACGGTCATTAAGTGTTTTGATTTTATTAGGCAATTTTTTGTACATTATTATTGCTTATCTATAGGGATCTTTGTTGACATTGTATCTGCATATACATCCTGTGGTAGTTTAGATATCACCGAGTGTAGGGATTATGAACTGTATTGTTTTTGTACAGAGGAAATTTAAAGAAAAACTCAGCAGTCTTATTTTGTATAACACTTTTAAACATACTCTCATACTATTTTTCCTCCTAAAACTAAAGTTGCTTTGTTCATGCCAGAACATTTTATGGATGAATTTTGAGCCTCCGTTAATAAAAATATTCAAGCACCCTGGAAATAACTTTAAAATGGTATAAAACAAAAATTAACACAATATACAACTTATAAAAAAAAATAGTACATAAAATACTTACAGACATACATACAAAATCATTTGTAACACTAATACATTTTCTATTCCATTATTTCTTTTAATTTATCGAGGCACATTCCTATTAAAATTTTTTTAAACAAATCATTTCTTTAACAAATTTTTTTAAACAAATCCTTGAATTTCTTTTCTTCACATACATCTTTATTATTTTTAGGAAGATTATTATTGTTGAGCAGTTATCGTTGTCAAGAGAATGACTACAGTATTTTCCAATCCTTTGGATTTTAGAATTTTATGTTTTAGTTAGACCAATACTATTGTAAGCTTTACAAATATGGTCATCCTTTATGACTAGAGGAGACTGGATTCTCAAGTAATATCTTTTTTCTTTGTGTTCAGTTGTCAAAATTGTGCTCTTGGCAAATCAGAACAATCCTAACAACACGCAAATTTTTCATCATTTTGTACTATACTACATATTTTACACATCTTTTACATATTGTAAAATTTATATAATACCAATTTTCTTGAAATTTATTTCTCAAAAACTAATTCTTTTTTCAACTTTTAAAAAATAATTTTTACTTCAAAAATCAGTTTTTATTCTTACACATTCAAAATCGCATGTCAATATGCTCTAAATAATATGTAACTCGACGCATCGAATCTGAATTTATAGCCAAAATTAAGCCACCATCCACCAGTTTGTTGTTTGAATCATGATAAACTACCATTAAATTTAGAATTTCATGGTGGTATTTCACAAATGAAAATAAAACGAAGGTGGTGGAGAAATTCTGGCTCTGGATTCAGCGTGTCCACATACAGAGAGAAAAGCGTGTCAAGTTTTGGGTCTGATGCCTTTTCACTTCTCTAGAGTAGAATACTACAAGAAACAAAAAGACTAGTATTGGCATGTTTTGCATGATTTAAATAAAAGAAGGGTGGCGGCACAAGTCTTTCTTTGGATTCAGATATAGCAAGTTGACATGCATAGATAAACATGTGAAGTTTTTAGATCTGACACCTTTTTTTATTTTGTGTACCTGTGCTATTATTGCAGGAATTACTTTGAAGCAATTTCATCCACAAGGTTTACAAACTTGGTGAACATAAAATTGAATTTTTTCCCCCCATCAAACTCAATTATTCACCATGGATATCAGTGTATCCTTGTAGGACACACTAATTATTGTGAAGGAAACGAAAAATGAATACTGGAACCTAATGCTAGGTTTTCAATGCGTTGTAAAATTAGTGAGATTCTGCAAGGAATAAAAGTTGTATTAGATTGTAGCAAATCTCACTTTTGATGGCTAATATATATCTAAATATGTGCCCATTATATCATGTAATGTAGAAAAAATATTCTTCAAGAAGAAAGCTCTTCTCTCAGTTAATGGCCAGTCCATTGTATTTGATAATTTTGAACTGCATGTTATCATTCAGTGCGATTTTTAGGAAGAGGATGAGTAAGTCAGCTTAAGATTTTTGTACCTTATAGGCTGAATAATAGTTGACAAATTTTGTAAAACTAAAAAAGAAATTCATTTCTATGTTTTTTCAGCTATTTGAGAATAATGCAACATAGTATGATGTGAACACTGTAGGTGATAAGATATTGCTGTGAAATATATTTAATAAAATTCATGCTAACAATATTTTTTGTTATATTTTTAATATTGGTTTTATTTTGAGAACGTTCAGGTTATATTTTAGAAATTTTTTGGCCATAAGAGCATAAATATTTTGTGAGTTTATGAGCCACAGAGATAAGGCTCCATTGTACCATTGTTAAGAGATCTGTTTTGGTTGAAAGGCACCACTCCCCCTACAAGGAGATAAATAATTGACAATCTACATCTTTTCACCTTGAAATTGAGAAGAAACACAATCAAAATGATTCCAAACAACACCATATTTAGAATTTGCATATTCAATTTTAGACCAATCACTTTTGATTTGAGACTAAACAATTTCAAACTGAGAAAAAAGAATGATGAACCAAGTTATTGTTTTAGTATTGATTGTATAACCAGTTGTGCCTTCCAACTGATCAAAACGTAAGAGTAACATGCAATACATAAACAAATTGGAAGCTGAAAGTGTAAAACAGCAAATGTGTGTTGTGTATAATAATAACGGTGATTGGAAAGGTCTGGCTGATACACATATGTAAAACACATGTGTAAAAAAATCGACCGCATATCGTTGGGTGAAAAATCAAGATACTTCCAAAACCATGAGGTGGTAAAAGGAATATGATAATTATGGAGGAACATTGGACCGTCATTGACATACATTCAAGAAAATTCAAAAATTACATTGAAAGATCTAAAACTAAAAACGGAACAAAACCATCAAATTACAGTTTCAACAGAATGTTTGCGGAAACATTTGGATTGTTTGATACCTGTGTATTTTATACATAGATGAAACAAATTTTAATTTATTTATTCCAAGGAAAAAAGGAGGATTGAAAAAAGGTACTCAATGCAGCTACAGAACAGCAGGGAGCCACAGAGCTAATGTGGTTGCATAAGTGCTATGGGACTGAAGGGGCACTTTTAGAAAAGAGGAAGCTAAAGAATCTGTGCGCCAATGCATTGCCTGCTACTGCATCAACCGTCTACCACTCCTATGCTGTGTTAGTAATTGATAATGCTGCCAGTCACTGTGGTGTGAAAGAAATATTCATACTAAGGCTCAGGCCTTACACCCCATTTTCAATCCTATTGAAAAATGCTTGTCTAGCCTCAAGGTTGCTGTTATACGAGATCTGTGTGCAAAAATGCCACAAATTTTAACTGATGAAGACAGGGCAAATATATAGCAAACAGTTTCGTCTTAATCAGTTTGAAAATCTTATAAATCAAAATATTCAAGTAACAAATGCTAATAATTGTGCAAGATATGTCGCTCATGTCCAAAGATTCATTCCTAATGCTTTAAATTTAGAATATACGGTTATAAAAATTATAATTGTGTTAAAAAAATTGATTTTGAGTAATGTGTTTGTGTCATAAATGAAGACGATTTTGTAATGCAAGTTATTATTAATATGTTCATAAAGTTGGTTCTGAGAAATGTGTCCAAAATTTCTTCATTTTATTTTATTTATTTACATTGTTTGGACTCAAAATTGCAATTTACAAAGTAACTTCAAATAGATTTCAATTTGAAATTACCTAGTCTCAATTTGAAGATGATAGGTTTCATTATGAATGTGTTTATTCTCAATTCGATTGAGTTCATTCCCAATTTGAAATTGTTTGTTCTCAATTTGAGGTTGTAAAGGAATAGAATTGAAATGAACAATTTTCCTCACTCACCAACAGACATCACCTTGCTTCAAATTTTCGAGGTCTTTGGGGTGGAAGAACACGGTGTCACGATGGGCTATTAGGTAAAAAAGAACCTTCCTCCCTTGTTCCGTTTTCACTAATGTGGTGGCACTCTTGGCAATTTCAGACACCACCACCTGAAATCAGAACAATTGCAATTCACTCCATACACACTCCATCAATATTGTATCATTAAGATATTATTCTCGTAATATATATGTTAATGTGACCAGCTATTTATATAATAAAAATACTTTATAAAAAACTATATAAATATAGAAATTCAACTGCCCTTGAAAGTCCTAAAACTGGGAATTGTAGTTTAAAATAGTAAAATTGACAACTCACTGAGTTGATAAAAAATGTTTTTTTCTAGACAAACTCAAATTGCTTTGTTCATGCCAGAACATTTTGTGGATGAATTTTGGGCCACCGTTAAATAATATATTTTTTATTTGCCAACAGTGGTAAATTTCAAGTACAGTCAACATAACTTAAAAACGGTATAAAACAAAAATTAACAGAATATACAATTCATAAAAAAATACTACATAAAATACTTAAGGACATAGACATACAAAATAACTTATAAAACTAATACATTTTCTGTTCCATTAGTTCTTTTAATTTATAG